ACACACACACACACACACATACTAACACACACATTCACACACAAACATGCTCACGTATACAAACATCCACATGTTCATACACACATTCGCGCACAAAAACACCCATCCACGTATACACCCACCCATGCGAACATGTATAAACACACGCAGACACGCGCATGCAAGCGCTCACGCAGGCACTGAGACTTCCACCAACTCCGGTACAGGATGTAACCAGGATAGGACCATGGGCATCGCGACCTCTCTCTTTACGATGACCGCCGTTCCGAGAAATATTGCCCACATATTGTATCGTGCCATTACTTCACCTACTGCTACTACTAGGATACATGTTTTACTAGAGCCAGTTTACGGTAGGGTGTTTCAATTTCCTCCTAACACACCCCATGCGATCCTTTATCAACTCCTATATTATTATGATTAAGATAAAGCAAGCTTTCTGCCACAACAAATAGTAATTAAAAAAACAACAACAAATAAACAAACAGAAGAAAACAAAAATAAAAACAAAACACGTTATCTAAAATGCTATCCAGTCAAAATTGTTCGACACAGGCTCCTGTCCCTGAGGTCCAGTACGGGGTGAAGTTCAAGACACATCGCGCCATCACGCCGTCTAGGCCTAGCTGTTAATAAGCCAGCGAGCAATACTGCAAGCGAGGAAACTCACAATTAGATTCTAGATCTTATCTATCTATGCAACGGTGTTTATTTTGTGACGCTTGTCAACAAAAACGTTCAAATGAAACCTAAGATTGGGTCTATACTAGGCACTTATATCAGTGTTTTGTTAAGTCAGGGGCAGGTTTGTCACCCCGGAAGTGTCACCCGTGCGTTTTGATTTCGACATCGATTTGGGTATACACCATAGAGTTATTTCCTTTTAAACCTATAGTGTACATCTATGGTATACACTGTACAATCTTAGCATAAGTTCATTGCCTTTTGGGACAAAATTACTGGTTTAAAAAAAAAAACTATTAAAAAAAACAACAACTAAAGAAACGAGTTGATAGACTGTCACTCTAGTACATTCACATATTAGATAAATGAGTCAACTAAAAATTGTAGATGACATTTTTGGCGTTTCGGAAAGGGATTGGCTGTGGGGGAGTAAGCGGCGTGGGCGATCGTGACAGACTAGCAGTTTAAAAATGTTTTCGGTCGACGTGTTTCAGTGGACAGGGTCTTGGACTCAAATTTTTAAAGTGATGAGCAGGATACAAAATATAAATCGTCCTCAACTTTTTTTATTTAAATCATCTATAACAGCCATTAAACGCTTTCCTTTTTTCAAAACTGTAATAACGGTATGCATTATAATATATTACAAAAACACGACGATTTGACATACCGATATTTCGTATTTTAGATGCATGCGCTTACTTTCTATGTATGTTCGTATGCCTCTGAAATGACAGGTTCATCTTTTCTTCCAGCCTCTGAAATGACAGGTTCATCTTTTCTTCCAGCCTCTGAAACGACAGGTTCATCTTTTCTTCCAGCCTCTGAAATGACAGGTTCATCTTTTCTTCCAGCCCACCCCTCCATCGGAAAAAACAACAACAATAGAAAACGTACCATGTAGAGATCTATGTATCAAATGATGTGTTGCTTGGGGTTACCTCGTGACTTGGTTGCCAGAGTACAGTAAAATATAATGGAACATTTTTTTTCTCTTTCGTGTTTTTTTTCCCTTTGGGAAGGTATAGCCTAGTGTTGTGTTAGTTTCAACTAATTGCTATCGATATCAACTAAATCTAGATCTAAATAACTTTAAATTTAAAAAAAGAAGAAATAAACATGTGAAAATAAAGACAAGATAGGCACCTTAAACTCCTTAACCTGCCCACAAACCGAGAACGTCTTAAACAACCTCACTATTGATTTCTGTACTGAATACAGAGGCGTGCTACCAAATTGCATCAGACGTGATGCATGACGAAATTGGAGCTAGATCTACGGAATTGGAACAACTGGCAGCATAGATCTAGGCCTACTACAGTTTGATTTGCTGGCAATTCACCTATATTAATCGAAAGCACGAAAGTTAGAATCTAGGACTGACACGATAAAACGATGCTGTGTTTACAAAGGGAGCGTGGAA